TCGGCGGGCGGCGTACAGGCAGCTCACGGGCGGCTGCGACGGGCGGCTCGCGGGCGTCCAGCGCTAGGGCGCTGGGGCGACGACGAGCGGCGCTCAGGCGTCAGGGCGGGCGGTCGTCAGGGCGCTAGGGCGGGCGGCGCTCAGGCGTCAGGGCGGGCGGCCGTCAGGGCGCTAGGGCGGGCAGCGCTCAGGCGTCAGGGCGGGCGACCGTCAGGGCGCTAGGGCGGGCGGCGCTCAGGCGTCAGGGCGGGCGGCGCTCGGGCGCTTGGGCGGGCGGCCGTCAGGGCGCTAGGGCGGGCGGCCGTCAGGGCGCTAGGGCGGGCGGCGTTCGGGCGCTAGAGCGGGCGGCCGTCAGGGCACTAGGGCGGGCGGCCGTCAGGGCGCAAGGGCGGCGGCGCTCGGGCGCTAGGGCGGGCGGCCTTCAGAGCAGTAGGGCAGGAGCCCGGAGCGCGCTCCGGGCAGGAAAAAAAAAAAAGTACTAGGGCCCGGAGCGCGCTCCGGGCAGGAAAAAAAAAAAAAAAAAGGTTAAGAGGTTTCTATGTTTGACATAGAAACGAGGAGAGCTGCAATCTTGCCGTGTTGAAGTTGTGAAGTCCTTTCCAGGGACTTTGCTGTAACTCCTTGAAATTCGTCTTGCTGAGTCGCCCAAAATGATGCGACGGTGCGTTGAAGATTTCCTACGTAATGCTCTGTGGGAAGTGGCAGGTCGAACCTGCTCCTGAAGATGCTCCTGGTGATGATTCAGGTGGTGGGCCCATTTGTAGAAATTATCACAGGTTCCAAGGATTGGAACTCTTGCTCGTGATACCATGTTGGAAATAAGAAGTCGCTAGAGCGCAGCGGAAGCTCTATGAATTAACGACGTCCCTACGGCGGGGCTATTGGTCACTCAGAGGTAGATCTCCTGGCTTGCAACGTGGTGCCAAAGCAGCGGCCGAGGGTAGGCCGGACACAAGCTTGAGAATTGTGTAATATGAGCAAGGCATTACATTCTGTTATATAGCAAACGCATAGGGCAAACAGTTACCAAGTCGCAACTGTATAACAGTTGCGCTGCGTCGCTTGGGTTGCCTTGTTACAGTCGCGCTGGCGAGACTTTTCAGCTTTGGCAAGGGCGCGGTATCCTGCCGCGCCCCGCAGGTCAGTTTCGCGTACTGTAGACGATGACTCCTGCTGTCGATTCGACTCTTGAGCTGCCACGCGGGTCGCAACCGCTGTATTCGGTTGCGGCCCGTTGACTCGCCACCAGGTTCAAATCCCTCGCTATGGCGAGCCCCTATAAACACACTTCGAACAGTGCACTTATAATAAAAGCATACAAACATATTCTCAACACATCTTAGCTAGTATTATTCGATTGCACCAGCTTGTGCTCAACGTTGATGCAAATGTTGTAATAAGCCATTTGTAATGAGAACGATGCCCCATTTGTAACGAGAACGATGCCAATTGATAAGAATAAGAAAGCAAGCTTTCTCAATGCTGTACCAATAATTGTACCCTCTACCCTCCAATAACACTGAACTCCAATAATTGTGGCCCCTACCATAATTGTTGTAGGACCTGGAGGCTTATAAAGAGGACTACAGTAAAACGAAACAGCACACTGATATACAGTATTCGTTATACTGTATTCGGATTTCCAACACTGTGCAATAGAGGCTGCGCAGTGAGAGCTTGCTCAGTTTTCTTTCAGAGGATGGTTGACGACCGTGAGAAATTACGGTATGTTATTTGTAGACCGCTAGCATTTATGTTTATTTGTACTGTCACACTCAACAAATCGAATTGCATGCATGACACTAAGTACTGTAGGCACCACCAGCACCAGAACATCAGATATAGGATGGACAAATCAGCATGTAGAAAATAGTCCAAACCATGCCATCCAGAACCTCACACAATGCCTCCAAGCAAATCAGAATTTCAACCTGCAGGCATGAGTAACATGAGATGGGCCTTTCTTGCACAACAGAAGACAAAAAGCAGATACACCCAGCAGTCAAAGAAAGCGAACAGGCACACCCAGGCTGTAAGGAAACAACAATGATCTGGCAACGGACATGTGCTTCACCGCGCAGAAAATCAGAAGGTTGATCCTTCCGGAGGCTGCTGTATCTTGCGGTTGTGACCCGATGCCATCTCACGGCGCAGCTCAGTCAAAATGGTTTCCATGGTGTGCTCTCGACGCCACTGAGCCAACAGCGGGAAGTGCTTTGGCTCCACCTGTGAAACAGGAAATGGGAGGGAAGTGACCAACTGCACAAACCTCAAACCGTGCACACTACAATACCAGATCCAACTGCTCACTTATTGCTAGGGCGCCGCAGAGAGCTTCTGAAATTTACACCACTCAGGTTGCTTCTTAAGTGAATGGCTAGACAAAAGTCAGTAGATACAATTTTGCACGACTTACCACACCCGTCTCCTGGTTGACACAATGCATGTTGATGCGTGAATGGAATCGCACAGTTGGTGGCCGTTCTGGGTAGTCCTTATCACAATAAAGCTTCACTGTGTAGATGCGACCCTCGTGCACAGACTGCCAGTCCACACAAATGACAACGAAGGAAGAGCAGTAGAGAGCTCAGCGGGACAACGACATCAGTAAACCGTCATCGACGCACATCCACGCAGCACATGAAAAAAGGAAAAATGAGACGCAAGTGAGATTCTCAAAGAGTAAGAAACGCGGAAAAAATGAAGATCTGCAGCAACTTCAGCAGCTACGAACGGCAAGAGCACACACTGATCGCCTACGTTGTTAGGGCCGATCACGGTTCCCGTCCATGAGCGCATGTAGATGTCGTCCGCATCGTCCATGCCGTAGCTCACCGAACCATCGCCGATACCTTTTTCCCCTCGGTCCAGCTCATCCAAAAGCCGAAAGCTTCTGGGAACTGGATGGAAAGCGACAAATTCAGGAAATATATAGGATAAGAAGGAAACGTCATTGCGGAACGCTCATACTGGATAGTGAATAAAAGAACAGCTGCCTCCACGAAAAGGATTTTTCCGGCTAGAGAATCGTCAACAACAACGGTCCAGAAGTATCAAGGAGAGTCTAAAGAACAACCACCCCAGCTTGTTCATCCCAAAAATCCGCGTGGCATAATCGATCGCACAGAGGGTCACACAGAACCCATAGCGAGTGAGACTTCTGAATGACCCAGAATATCAACAAACCTAATAGTAGAAACGCTCAGGAACAAAGATGTAGTCGACTCCAACTCCGTGTACAGACAGGAAAAGAGAAGAATACACGTACCTACAACTCCTGCCGAATTCATCTTGATAAAATATGATATCTGGTTCTAAAAATAAGGACGCTCAAGTAGATCTCCAAATTATGATGCACAAGCGTGTCGAGCGAAAGGAGATGATGTGTCGACAAGGAACTAAAAACAGTAGTTCCGTTAGAAAGCAACGAAAAGGTCACTCCCACCTAACTGACGTGGATCAGAATCACTCTCTCAGTCTCGGGATTCGCTGCATCCGAGACTAACGTCTAGGTGTGAAATAAGAGCAAGCACTGATTGTGAGCTGTTAGGGAGCGATGGTGTAAGTTAGTGGAAGGCAATGAACCTAGGGAGAAGATCATACAGGGGCTGAACGGGGCAGGGAGGTGTTCGAACAAGGGCCAAGAGGCCCGGAACTAACCAAACCACTGCTTTAAAAGTTACTTGCAGGGGGGTATCATTTATTGAACGTAAAGTTTGTTAACAGTTTTCATTTGAGCTCGCGCGTCATTTTACATGGAAATGTTTACTGATTCATCACCTTCCACCCAGTAGCGTCGTTTAGCAGCCAAAAAAACTAAAACCCCTAGGGAAACCTGGATGCATTTTCGGGATGGATCAACCCTAAAAATGGGAACCTTCGTTGTGTTTAGGGTTGATGCCTCCCTAGCATCCATTTCCGAATGGTAAATATTTTTTTTTTCTGCGCGTTTCCGATCAGGGAGTGATATTTATCACCCATAATGAATTTGTTTTTGAACTCACAAATTAACACAGCAATATTTACTTCCAGAAGAACGCGATGTGTGCGTAGTAGTAGACGGCGGTCATAACCATTGTTTCAATAAATCAGACACAAAGTTTGGCACTGGTAGTTGTTCTCTTTTAGTCACGGTTCGGCTTGTTCGCCTAGCCTCTTGGGCAGCTCGGGGTCGAAAATCCTACGGTCGAGATTTTTTGGCCCTACTTTTGTCATCTCTCTGGCCACTTCGGCCCCAGTTTGATCATTTCCCATGTATATGGTGGAATGGCAGAAACAGCCTACAGAGCCTATGCCTGGGGATGGATGGATGGTCAGGTCAGGAGAGCCAGGATGCTTTGCCCAGAGTAGGCACGGTCACGTTGATTGGAGGAAGAAGAGCGGATGGATAAAAGTTATCAGCTCTTCTCGGGCGCTTAACTGAATTCTGTATCGCCAAGCACCACTACTACGGGCAGAGTATACCGTAAACATGAAACCCGTTGTTCAGAGGCCATCGTTCCCAAAATCAGTAGAAGCAACTGCTTCGTGTTCAGGTGTATGCTTCAGTATAAAATAAGGCAGTCACCACTACATATATTATCCAAAGTCTGGGGTGCCTTTGATGCATAGCACCACTCCAATGTAAAATTTGTGAATTAAAAAAATACAGCCCATCATTCATGCTGATGCGAGAGTCACAACCAGCATTTTTTATGTGCTCACTAAATATATCTACGTATTACACTAGAAGTGTAGCAAATCAGCATAAGTTGCTTCATTTCAACATAAGCTGAGATGTCCATAGCGTGGTACATGAATGCGCCACGTGTCTTCCACATGTACACGATTCGGAGACCATATCCTTCACTGGTTTGACAGTGCACGCATTCCCTTCCAGTCACTTCTCGAATACGTTGCAGTCAAAAAGAGCTCCGAGAACAAGATAGTCACGGGCTTCGAAGTACTCGCACAGAAACATCTTCCGAGTTTGTCTCACGTGTCTCTCAAAGCCTAGAACGATGGCGGCGTCCCTTACTGCCACAGTCCTCTCTGCAGCATTCGCTGCGTCCCCATGCCTCACTGGCTCTGTTCGTCAGGGGGACGCGGTATGCGTCACTGGCAGCATGAAACCATTGAGGGCGACTGGAAGGCGTGACCTTCGTGTTTGGAGTAGCGGCGAAGGCGGAAATGCGCCAGCAGAGCGGATACTTTCTCTTGAAGACATTCTCAGTGCTGTGAGTACCCAGAGGACATCAATTTCGGAGAAGCCGTATCACATCTGTCCTTGAATTATTCGTCCAATTGTTCACAATCCGCCACCTTCACGTGTTGAACCTTTTCCTCGCCCCTTCCGTTCCACTTTCCCTGTTTTCGGCACTCCTGAATGCCGAAACAGGCGGAGAAGGAGAGCAGCGACCTGGTGTTTTCTCCTGACGACGCCGATGATGACAATGATGACACGATCGACAGCCTGGCCGACGATCCCTTCGTCTCCCGCTCACCTGTCCCCACCGATCCCAACGCCCCTGCGGGTACCTCGCACTTCCACATCTTACCGAGAAACCTTTTATTTCTTGTCAGCTTCGACGTGAGAAGCATGAGAAACGTGAGAAACGGCTCATGAAAAGCAGATTTTTCCTGTTTCCTTGTTCTCTTTCCTGTTCGACCCACCAGCCCAGCTGTTCCCATCGGCTGACGACATGGAGAAGGTTCTTTCCGCCTACAACAGCGCACCGGCAGGTAATGCAATGATGGCCCTCGCGCTTTTACTCAAGGATTCCCAACCATAACACAACGATTCACCTGCATGCTATCCGCCCTCTTATATTCACGAGTGAGAAAGCATCCATGCATTCGTTTCCCTCACTGCCCATCACTACCATATGCCCCTCCGTCCCGTACTTCTCCTTGCCACCCGCCTTTCCAGCTATAGGCGAGATAGGCGTGGATGATCTCAAGACGGCCCTGGAGGGGGAAGCGGACGCCGTGCCTGTGCTGATTGACGTGAGGGCGCCAGAGGACTACAAGAGAGGGTAAGAAGCAATAATGGCGTTATATATATGTTGTTTGAGGGGGAAGGGGGGCAGGGGGCGTGTGGATGGAGAAGGTGAAGTAACAGAGGGAAGAGTGAATGTGATGGTGTACAGTAACCAAGGACCGACGTTTGCATATGTTTTTGACTGCTGTGATTGAGAACGTATGCTTGTTTTGTTGCAGGCACATTCCCGGAGCTGTGTCAGTGCCTATGGGGGATGTGGTGGCATATGCTGCAGACGCTGGTTCCGGTCCCCTGGCCTTCGTCTGCTATGCTGGTGCGCCGCTGCTTCTTCCTCACCTTGTTGGGAGTTTTTGCCTACATAATTGTCTTTCCAGAGCAGGCAGTCTCATCCAAACATGTGCCCGCTTCCACATGCAGGAAACACGAGTAAACGGGCAGCTATGCAAGTGGCTGGTGCACTCAGCTTGCCATCAGAGTCCGTATTGAATGTAACTGGTGGGACAGCTGCATGGGTGAATGCAGGCTACCCACTTGAACAGTAGGCTGTACACACACACATGCTCTATTTTTGTTCGTGATGATAATATTTTTGTTCGTCAGTTGCACCCTGGATGTTGCTTATATGCCACAAACATGTATGCTTACACAGTAACGAAGCTGCTGTAATGAGGGCTCTGTTTGAAGACGTATTGTACAGATGTTGTGTTCCCGCTTGTAATTGGATGATTCGCATGCCAGCGGACATGTTGGGACCTGTAAGGAAATTCCCTTTTCCTTACTTCGCGTCCCTGCTCAAACGCGTACGTCACTGTAGCACCTCAGTCAGCACCGTTACCACTCACGACCATCGCATCATTCATTATCCCGCCCTCTTCGCACATCGCATCCCAACCTCACGGCTCGGCTGGTAACCCGCGCTCCGGGCCTACGCTTCGACACTTTCCCAACCTCAGCCCCAGGCTCGTCGCGCGACAACCACAGTCCATTACCGTTACCACTATTGTTTCGCTATATAATCCTTCGCTCATGCCTTCGCTCATTGTACTCTTTGCTTCGATAGTGCAATTCTCGTTCGTTCACTCAATTGCACTCGTAACACTTGGTAATCAGAGCCTACGATCTCATCTCGGACCGCATCCACACCTTCGCTTCCCACTATCTCAATTTTTGGGGGGGGTAGACGTCTCTCAGCGACACAGCACCGCCGCTCGTAGTGCTCTCTCGCAAGCACGCACGGCCACGACCGAGGCTCTCGCTGAGCTTGCCCGACACCCCCGCCATGGCCGACCTCACTCTCGCCACGTTGACGCAGGAGCAACTCGATCGTCTCGTGCGACAACTGGAGGATTCGGCGCTTGAAATCGCGACGCTCACGGCGGAACGTGACTCCGCTCGTCAACAGTCAACGGTGAATGCTCCGACAACATCCCATGCACCAACCAATGTCTTTGTACATTCGGAGGAGCCGATTATCATTTCATCCGGCACACCAACGCAACACAACAGCACGGGACAGCGCTCAGGCGCAGCCAGTGACGGCGCAGCCCAACCGATGCCCGGCATGGGAGGGAACAGGAGCACGCTAAGCCCACGGGAGCCCCGAGAAGCCCGTCGGCACGTGGAGTTTGCGACGACAAGTGGTGAAAACGCCATGATGGCCCCAATGCCACTCAAGCCGCAACGCCCGCCCTGCTTCGACCCAAGCCAACGCGGCGGCCCGACAGTTCAATCATGGGTCTTCACGATGAATGTGTTTTTCGACGCCAACTACGTCGAGTCGGACGCCGCCAAGATTCGGTATGCGGTTTCACTACTCAGGGGCCCCGCCATGGACTGGTGGCGAGTCATCGTGACGTCGCCACGCGCTTACGAGCCACCGTCGCACGAGGAAGGGCCCTCGGGTCCAGCTGTCACCTGGAGTTCGTTCTGCGAAACAGCCCAATACAGCACGTGGGATGCGTGGTACGCAGGGCTTCGGGCGCGTTTTGAGCCGATCGCGGCTTCGATTTCGGCGCGTCAGAAACTGCGCACTTGGCGCCAGCTCGGGTCAGTTCAAGACTACACCAGCGGGTTTCTCGCACTTTGCGAACAGGTCGGCTACATGCACGAGGCGGAGCGGGTGGACCGTTACGTCGGAGGGCTGAAGCCGGACATCTCGCACGAGATAATGCTACGCGGGCTCTCGAATTTCAACGAGATCCTCGCGCTCGCCGAGAAAATCGATATCCTACGCCGACCGAGACCGGGGTCCTATTACGGACATCGTCCTCGGGGACCGACCGAGCACGCCACTGTACATGCCGTCGCAGCGAATGCAGCTGCCGCGCCGTTTAGAGGGCGCTGCTTTGCTTGCAACCGGCCGGGCCATCGCAAGAGCGAATGTCCAGAGGAGCTGAGGCGTCGGGGAGCAGAGCAGGGGAGGGAGTCTCGGAGGCAGGGAAACGCCAGCAGTCAGTAGAAGTTGGGCCAACTACTGACGAGACTGCCTGCTCGCCCAACCACACCGACCCTCACCGAGTCACAGTACCGATTCACGCCATCGATCGGGCTCGGATGAATAAGGAGGGTACAGCGACGGATTGCCCGGTACTGATCTACGGGAAAATACAGAGAGCAGCAGTGAAAAACTTCATTGACGGAGGGGCAAGTCACAGCTTAGTTAATACTGCAACCGCACGGAGATTACAGTTAATACTTAATCGATGTTTACCTGAGATAGATGCACGCTTAGTCGACGGCACGCCATTGGCCATACGAGAAAAAGTGGAGCGAGTAAAAGTCCGCTGCGGGGGAAACTTCGGGTTTACACAGTAAATGCTCGCAACGACGCTGGATGGGCACGACATTTTACTGGGACGTGATTGGCTGCGACGGTACAACCCACGGATCGACTGGACGACGGGGAGCTGCACAGTGCAAAGTAGCGGTAACTGGGTCGTCCTACCTCGCTGGCGGCCACCCGAATCTTCGACAGTCCAGGTCAACGCCATCACGATGAAACGGGCTGTCGCTGCTGGAGCCGACGTGTACGCAGTGGATATCGCAGTGGTAGAAAAAGACGAGCAGCAGAATGATTTAAAGAAACTGCTAGCAGCCGTACCGACCGAATTACAGACACTACTGAAACGGTTCCCGGGGATATTTCCGGATGATTTACCACAGGGACTGCCACCTCAGCGAGCGCACGACCACAGGATCGAGCTAGAACCGGGGGCACAGCCAACAGTACAGCGGCAATTTTGACTGACACAGCCCGAGCTCGACGAGTTAAGGAAGCAGTTAGATTACCTGTTAGATAAGCAGTTTATTCGACCAAGCTCGTCACCGTTCGCCGCACCCATACTGTTCACACCGAAAAAAGACGGAGGTTTTCGCATGTGCATCGACTACCGAGCGCTTAACCGAGTAACAGTCAAATCGCGATACCCCATCCCCCGCACCGACGAACTGATTGACCAACTGCGAACAGCACGTGTCTTTTCGAAAATAGATTTACGGGGAGGTTACCATCAGATTCGGGTCGAACCATCGGACTGCGCAAAAACAGCATTAAGGACTAGGTACGGGTCATTCGAGTATACAGTAATGCCTTTCGGGTTGACGAACGCGCCTGCGACTTTTCAGATGACCATGAACAAGGCGTTTAGACCACTTTTAGATAAATGCGTGATCGTTTACCTCGACGATATCCTCGTTTACAGTCGGGATAAGCAGCAACACTTAACAGATCTTGAAGCAGTTTTTAAGGTTTTAGAGGAACATCGGCTGCTCACCAAGGGCTCCAAGTGCGAGTTTTTTAGGGATAGGCTAGAGTTTTTAGGTCACGTCATTTCCGAGGCTGGGGTTGAAATCGACCCAAAGAAGCTGGATACGGTAAAAGCGTGGCGCCCCCCGACAAACATCACGGAACTGCAGAGTTTTTTAGGGTTTGTTAATTACGTTTGACGGTTCGTGCCCGACATGGCACGTTTAACAGCCCCACTAACTGATTTACTGCGTAAGGGGGTCGCTTTTACGTGGGGGGAGAAAGAGCATGCTGCCTTCTCTGCCCTAAAAAACGTCCTCTGTTCACCACCCGTTCTACGTATCGCTGATCCCCACCGCCCTTTCGAAGTGGTTACCGACGCAAGTGACATCGCCATCGGAGCTGTACTGTTACAGGACGTCGGCAACGGCCTCCAACCCATCGCCTACGAATCACGCAAACTACATCCGCCTGAGCGAAATTACCCGATACACGACCGCGAAATGCTCGCGATCGTGCATGCATTCAAAGTTTGGCGCTGCTACTTGACTGGCGCAGACGTGACAGTACGGACAGACCACCGATCTCTACAGTACCTCCGCGCACAGCCCCACCTCAACCCACGACAGATTCGATGGCTCGATTTCCTCAAGTCGAATTTTCACTATACGGTCACATACAAAAAAGGAGCATCGAATATCGCCGACGCACTGACCCGCCCCACTGCCCATATCCACGCGATACTACTCGCCCAGACCAGCCCACTGCTTACCGGCCTATTTACCCACGGATATCAAACAGACTCGTTCTTTACAGGAGGCAACTCACAGCAGTTCGCAGCGGCAAAAGGAGTCTATTACGTAAAAACTGGAACCGACCGCATCTGGGTACCGGGATACACGCTACTGCGGGAACTACTGTTACAGGAAGCACACGACGGAGTTACCTCGGGACATTTCGGGGTAGAAAAAACACGGCAGCAGCTGCAGCGGTACTACTACTGGCCAGAAATGTTGACCGATGTGCAACGACACGTGGCATCGTGTCCCACTTGCCAGCTCATGAAGTCAAGCAGGAAGCGACCAGCGGGGCAATTACAACCCATCCCGCCTCCAGAGCGTGCTTGGCAGCAGGTGACGATGGACTTCGTCACGAGGTTACCAGCTGGGGCGAGTGGGAATGACGCGATCCTGGTCGTCGTCGATCGACTAACGAAAATGGCTCATTTCGCAGCATGCAGGAAATCCATCACAGCCGAAGAAACCGCCCGACTATTCATCTCCACCGTCGTACGACTGCACGGGATACCCGCGTCGATCATCAGCGACAGGGACACGAAATTTACCAGCAACTTCTGGCGGAACCTGTGGCAGCAGTTCGGCACGCGCTTACAGTTCAGTTCATCCTATCACCCCGAAACCGACGGACAGACGGAACGGACAAATCAGACCATGGAGCAGCTGATTCGAGCCACGTGCGACGACCCGAATACGTGGGAACAGCAGCTGCCACTTATCGAGTTCGCATACAATAACGCACCATCAGCCACGACGCAACAGTCGCCGTTTTATTTGAATTACGGACAGGACCCAACAGTACCCATGACACCGAATCCCGACAACCCAGTCCCACGAGCACAACAGTTCGCCGAGATTCTGCAAGCAGCACGGACCAGGGCAGCAGAAGCAGTCAAAAAATCAAACATCATCGCTAAACGTAACGCCGATCGACATCGCAGACCCGTTACTTATCAGCCCGACGACCTCGTATTACTCGACACTCAGAATCTTCGCCTGCCCATCACTCCAAAACTTCGCCCCCGGTATTGTGGGCCATTCCGCATCAGCCACATGATCACACCCGTCACCGCCCACCTCCTCCTCCCTGCTGACTGGTACGTCAGCCCGTCATTCCACGTCAGCCTACTTCGCCCTTACATCCCATCCACGAGCCAACTGCCACGAAATCGCCCAGCCAGCATGACACGTCCCCCAACCGAACCACTCATCGCCCCTGAAAAAATCCTCAGCCACCGAGTCCGCGACCCTCGGGGAGCCCGAAGGATAGAGTTCCTAATTCGCTGGAAGGACCGAACGCCCACAGAAGACAACTGGGTCCCCCTGGATAAAATTGAGAACCACCCTGTCTTCCCCGAGTATCTGCAAAGCCGAAATTTCCGCGACGTCCATGCGCTCTCGTAAGAGGGGCCTCCTTGGGGAGGGGGGTAGTGTAAGGAAATTCCCTTTTCCTTACTTCGCGTCCCTGCTCAAACGCGTACGTCACTGTAGCACCTCAGTCAGCACCGTTACCACTCACGACCATCGCATCATTCATTATCCCGCCCTCTTCGCACATCGCATCCCAACCTCATGGCTCGGCTGGTAACCCGCGCTCCGGGCCTACGCTTCGACACTTTCCCAACCTCAGCCCCAGGCTCGTCGCGCGACAACCACAGTCCATTACCGTTACCACTATTGTTTCGCTATATAATCCTTCGCTCATGCCTTCGCTCATTGTACTCTTTGCTTCGATAGTGCAATTCTCGTTCGTTCACTCAATTGCACTCGTAACAGGACCTCTAAGGTTGTTTTCTTATAGTCTTACCCACCGGAGAATGGGTTTCATTACAAAGAGAGTGTATGTCGACTTATAGCCTTGCAGCCGGAGTTATAGTTGGAAACGTGTTGCTAGCCCGTGTATAATAATCAGGAGAGGTAAGACATTATGAGAACGCAATCCAGCAGAATGTTTCAGGGCTCGAAGGGCTAATAGCCTTTAGCAGCACTCTGTTGAGGGCGGCCAATAGAAAGCAAGGCTGCATTTCAACCTTTATGAGCTCGATTCGTGCGCCTGGACTTCAAGTTTCCGCCGCACCCATCACTTCGATTTCAGGTGTGCCGACGCGGGAAAAGGCAGTGGGAGCAGCGCAACGAATCAGAGATTCGCTCAGGAAGAGGGGCGGAGGCGGGGGGGACTAAGAGGGGGATAAGCTGTAGGCGGTTGCTGGATGACACGCGCGGATGCTCTGATAATCTGATTGGCGCATGCCATCGATGTGATGCATTGCTGTAACCTCCCCCGCTAGAAGCGGGGATACAGAACAGACCCCATCCCTCATCACCTCACCTCACCCCATCCACTCCCCTTATCCGCCTCACAACCTCCCCCTCCCTTTGTCTCCCCTCCCCTCCACTTCCCCCACCTCTCTTTTCCCCAAGCTTTCCTTCGCGTCCGCACCAAGGGATTGCCAGCCTCACGCGTCCTTCCTGCTCGACACATTTCACAACTCTCGTCCGTTCTGGAGCAGCTTGCGAGTAGGTATTGTGGATCCTAACCTCCTAACCTTAGCTGACAACTAATGTGTTAGCATGTGTAGAATGGAAAAAGGTTTCAACGATTAACTGAGAAAAGCCGAACACTGTCGATTCCGTTCGCGGATTTTTTTTATATTTTTTTTTTTCTATCAGGTCATATTTCCTGGTTAGTGCTGTCAGCTTGTTGCGACACCTCGGACGATCGTCAACTTTGTGGGCAGTAACAAAGGCAGCAGCAGCAGCAGCAGCAGCAGCAGCATGGTGAACGTGTCGTGTTTCTCCGTGCCTTCTCTATGGGCCGCGCCGGTCGACACCGGCTACACTGGCGTCACAGCGCACGCTCCTCCGCATTCCGCGTCGCACGCTGACGTTGGCCGTTCTTCGTGGGGCCAGGCTAAGAGCAGCAGCAGCAGCAACAGTAACAACATCAGCAGCAGCGGCAGCAGCAGATCCCGTCGAAAGCACGCGCGTCAACGCGGAACCACAACCAGTCTCGGCGAGGTTCAGGCAGCACAGACGCAGGCACAGCTACTTAACAGCGATGGCAAACAACGCGCGTCAGCGAAGCAGCAGCAGCACCAAGACACTCGATCCTCCGCATCTTCCTCCTCCTATTCCTCTTCTTCCTCCTCCTGGTCGTCCAGTGTTGGTGCTTGGATTCGAAAACCTGCCTCTTCCTCCCCCTCTTCCTCGTCCTCCTCTCCCCCTTCCTCTGCTCGCACCTCCCGTGATGCCACTGCCGCTACCTTGCTCTCTCAATCTCACTCGCATTCTAACGCGCACTCTCCTCCCTGCCTCTCCTTCTACACCTGCCTCCCTATCTCCGCGGCTTCTGGTTTCGCCGCTGTAGCTGACGTGAGCTCGGTCTTCGATGACTCCGATACTGACTCGCTCCCCAACTCCCCGATCTCTTCACCCACCGCCGCCGCCGCCGCTGGCGCGTGCGCTAGCGCGTCTGTTTGCAGCCCGCCCCGCAGCACCACCTCCGGCCAGCCGGGTGGCAGCGGAGGCGCCAACGCGCGGCATTTCTTGTCGTTAGGCAGCTTCAGGCCGGCACATCTCTTGAGCCGGCTCAGGCGGCCCCACACAAGGGTCGGCAGCAGCCCGTCCCGTTCCAGGGGCCGATCGGGCTCTTCCCGCGTCGCCACCGCCGCCGCATCCGGCGCAGCCGGCGCGCCTGGCGGCGGGAACGCGCGAGCCGCTTCCGGCAGGTCGGGGAAAGCTAATGAAAAGCCGCCGCCGATTTCCGGATCTATCTCGGCAACTGCTGCTGGGGGGGGTGCTGCTGGTAGTGCCGCTGCAGCGGCAGCGGCGGCGGCGGCGGCGACGGAGACGGAACCGATTTCGTCCCTCGCCTCTGTCGCCAAGCGCGGGTTCCCGCGTCGCACGCTGTCGCTGCCGTCGCAGTCGCTGCCGTCGTCCAGCCGTGCGACGGCGCCGCCGACAGCGGGCGACGCGTTCTCATTGGTGGAGAAGGAGGTGACGATTTTGGAGCAGGGATTGGAGGAGCTGCTGCAGGGACAGGAGGCGGAGCAGGCGCAGCAGGCGGAAGCGGGGGACGGGGGCGCAAGTCGGGGGGAAGTCGTGGCGGTGTATGCGGGCATGCGCGCAATGAAGCAAGAGGCGTCCGCTCTGCGGGTAAGCGCGCAACGGGGCTTGTGGGGTTAGTACATTTTCAATATCCGCAGCAAGAGAGATCCTTTCTGCTCGCATTGTTTCTCCCCTTACCTTCTGATCCTCTCAATGCGCTTGCTTGCTGCTGTCATTGCTGAGAGTGAGCACCTTCTGTGCTGACTTGCTCCACTTCCTCCTTTCGTTCGCACCGTTTCCCCTGCCTGACTGTTCCCCCGTTTCCCCGCTCAACTCCCTCGTGGCAAACATGTGTGTTCCCCCCTCCCCCTCCCCCCCCTCCTCATCCCTTCTCCCCCTCTCCCTTCTCCGCCTGCCACTGCCCACTCGCAGGTCCTGCTTCGGGAGGCGCAGGGCGTGTCCCAGCGTTGCCAGCCTTCCGCCCCGCTTCCGCCGCCGCCCCCGCTCCCGCCCATCACCCCCATCATCCCCTCCACTGCCGCCGCATCTGCCGCTGCTGCTGATGCTGATGTTGCTGATATTATTCCTACAGAGATAGAGGAAGACTGTCCTGTGTCTCCTACCGCCTCCTTTGTTTCCTCCGGGTCCACTCTCCCTTGGGCGGATGCTACTCAGACTCTCTCCCCCACGCCGTCCTCTCCGCTGCTCTCCTCCTCCCTCCACTCCTCTCACCCTGCTGCTGCCGCCGTCCCTCCTCTCTCCCCTCCCCTTGCGGCATCTCCTGCGCCAGGAAGCCGCGCGGAGCCGTACGTTTCCCCCCCAACGACGCCAAGACCCCGCGCGGTGTTTGCGCGCCCCTCTTCCTCGCCCTCCGCCTCGGTCTCCTACTTCTCCGCTCCCCGCCCATCCTCCCCCGCGCCCTCCCGTTCCCGCGCGCACTTCAAACTGCCGTCGTTCCCCTCGTTTGTGACCCGCGCAGCTACTGTAACCAGCGCCACCAACGCCACCAGTGCCACCGGTGTGTCTGAACCTGCAGCAGCAGCAGCAGCTAAGGTTACAGCAGCAGCAACAGCAACCACAGCAGCCACAGCTGCCGCCGCCGCTGCTGCTGCTGCTGCTGCAGAGCCGACCAAGCGAGGGACGAGCTTCGCGAACGCGAGATTCGCAGGTGGTAACCGCGCTGGTGCTAGATCACCCGCAGGTCTTTCTGATTCTCCTTCCATCCCTGCCTCTCCTCCTGCTAGATTCTCCTCACCCACACGCACGGCCGCTGCCGCTGCTGTCTCTCCTCCCTCTCCTTCGTCCCTGCACGCCCCCTCAGGCTCCGCCTCCTCCTCCTCCTCCTCCTCCTCCTCCTCCTCCTCCTCCTCCTCCTCCTCCTCCTCCTCCTCCTCCTCCTCCTCCTCCTCCTCCTCCTCCTCCTCCTCCTCCTCCTCCTCCTCCTCCTCCTCCTCCTCCTCCTCCGCCGCCGCGTCTCGCTATCAGCCTCCATCCGCCTCTCTGCTCGCGTCTCTCTCTGCTCTCGAGCCATCCTTGTGCCCTGTCTCCTCTCCCTCTCGTCCGCGCTCCCCTTACTACGGCTCCCTAGGTTCTGCCGCAGTAGGGGTAGGAGCAGCAGCAGGAGCAGCTGGTGCGGGGGCATGTTCGGCACCCACCCTGTGGTCCAGGTTCGTCGACGGGTTCCGCAAGTACCCGCTGTTGTGGCAGCACCAGCCGTCACAGCAGCAACAGCAGCAGCAACTGCCGCAGCAACAGCCGCAGCAGGAGCAGCTGAACAGGGTGGAGAAAGAGGAAGCGGAAGGGGAAGAGGAGCAGCAGCAGCAGCAGCCGCACCAGCAGCAGCAGCAGCGGAGGGGAGCGTGGTTCGGAGCACGGTGGGCGGATTGGGTAGTGGCATTCGCCCTCCTCTCTGCAGTCACCTCCTGCTTCATCACCCTCCTCCGCCTCGCTCTCTCCGCCCGCGCTGGCGCAGGCGCGGCAGCGCGCATGGGGCGCCTGGGCAGCGCGCCCGGGCTCGGGCTGCTGGGCAGGGGGGGGAGGCTGGGCGCGGTGGCGACTGTGGGGGAGGTGATGGTGGGGGGGAGCAGCACAGGGGAGGAGGTGCAAGGAGTGGTGCCGTGGCATATGTGAGTCGAAGGAGAGAGAGAGGAGGGGGGGGGGGGGGGGTGAGAGGGAGCACTGGACGTGAAGCTCTGAGGCGCAGGGTGCGGTGCATGGGGCGTGAGCATGAGCATAGGGCATATAGCATAGACCATAGACCATGGGCCATGGGCCATGGGCATGGGCATGGTCACGGCATGGGGCATGCACATGGGGCATGAACATGGGCCATGTTGCTTGTGCCTCGTGCAAGCAGAAATGCCGTTCTCCTTGGTATTCCCTGCATATCGTTTGCATACCCCTTGCATCACCGCCTATCTCCATTCATCCCCTTGCATGTGCGTGTCATGTGCTTGCGTGGCGTGCATGTGCGTGCACATGCAAATATGCTCTTGCCGCCCATCCATGGCTCTCCAGGCGTGAGGCGAGACCAGGAGTGCTGGAGCTCAACCCTGGCAACCTGCATGCAGCCCTCCGACGCAGGTAGGTACTTGTGATAGAATCATGGAACTGGAATTTCTCTGTGGACCAAAACTTCTGCAACCTGCATGCAACCTCTCTGACGCAGGTGCCAGAGTTGAGACGAGGGAGATGGGGGGTAGTGACGGCTGTGCATAAGAAATGCGAAAAAAAAAAAATGTGGTGTTGTTGCGAAAAAAATAACGCTGCTGTTTTTTTTTTGGTATTTACGACTGAAACATCAGGAGAGGGATGAGACAAGGAAAGACTTACGCCCTGCATGCAGCTGCAGATAAGCTGCATGGGCATTTAAATTGGACATTGCTGCTGCCTTATTCCCAAGGGCTTGAGAGAAGATGGAGCTTAATACCTACCTCTTCTTCCTTTCCCCCTCCCCTCGTCCCCTCCCTCCCTCCCCCTCGCGCCCCCACCTCCCCCCCCCCCCCCCCCCCCCTCCCCACACTCTCCCCCCAGGCCGACATTCCTGATGTTCTACGCGCCGTGGTGTCCGCATTGCAAGCGCATGGAGCAGGCATGGGGCAGCCTGAACTGAACCAGATTCCCCTTCCCCCTTCCTTGCCCCGTCACCCTACTTCCCCCTCCCACCTCCTCCCTTTCAGGCCGACATTCCTGATGTTCTACGCGCCGTGGTGTCCGCACTGCAAGCGCATGGAGCAGGCATGGGCGGACCTGGCGGGCAGGCTCAAGGACCTCGACTTCAACGTGCAGGTGGCGCGCGTCGACGCCTACCGCTACCCACAGCTGGCTGAGGAGTTTCAGATTCCGGGCTTCCCCACGCTCGTGCTGTTTGACGGGGAGAAGCCGCTGGGTATGCACCGGGGGAAACGGGATGTTGATACTCTCTTCGGTTTCGTGGACGCAATGCTGCCGTAATGGCTTTTGTGAGGCGCGTTGGAGGAGCGGCTAACTCCACGCTCGTGCTGTTTGACGGGGAGAAGCCGCTGGGCATGCACTGGGGGAAGCGGGATGTGGACACGCTCGTGGGCTTTGTCGATGCCACGCTGCCGTGATGGTGCCTTTTTGAGGCGCATAAGGAGGAGCGGCTCTTTTCCACTCTCGTGCTGTTTGAGGGGGAGCGGCGGCCGCTGGACATGCATGCACGAGGGGAGGGGGGTAGAGGAAGCGGGATGTGGAGCGCTTGTGATGGGATGTGGCTTGGTGGACGCAATGCTGCCGTGGTGATGGCTTGGAGGACGCCGTGCCGTGCCACGCCGTGCCGTGCCGTGCTGCTGCGGACTCGGCTCGGAATCGGCAGAAGCGGTTTTCCCACGCTGGCGCAGGTTGACCGGGAAGCGGTTGCTTGAAGCGGGGGGGGAGGGCCTTCGTGGAGACTGGAGATTGTGCTGCCGTGACTGGATGTGCGCGGGTGATGGGGGCGTGATGGGGGGGATGGGGGGTGATGTGCATGCATGTGTTGGTGCATTCGTGTGTGCGTGTGTGAGAGAGTGTCTGGTCTCGTGGTCTTGCTAGTGTGTGGGGATGTAAGTGAAGCTGCACTTGCAACGCCTGAAAAGGTATCAGTTTAGCTAAAGGGGAGAGAGTGAGTGGGCAAAGGGACGAGGCAGCGGGGGCTTATGGTGAGGCATATAATCTCGTGAGGTATCTATTGGTTCTGTGTATAGTCTATAGTGCAGTGCAGTGCATGGGGAGTTTTTTTTTGGTTTCGCAGATAAGAGAGTTAATGGGGCTACGAGGGCTGTAAGCAGCTAATGAGATGCGAGCAGTGGCAAGTCGAGGTACGTGCTGTGCGTATGGCAGTGGATGCGAAGGAAGCGGGTGGAAGCAGGTGGAAGCGGGTGGAAGCAGGTGGAAGCGGGTGGAAGCGGGTGGAAGCGGGTGGAAGCGGGTGGAAGCGGGTGGAAGTCTAGTTTAGAGAAGGGTGTGGGGGCCTGGAGGAGATTATGGCTGGACACTCCAGTGAAGTTGTGTTGGTGGTGCTGATGTAAAGTGTTATCGGTGTGGCATGCCATGGCTGTATGGCTGTGCATTGTGTGCGTGTGGATTGGACGGGGTGTGGTGTGGATGCGGCATGGATGGTGGGTTATGGAGGGTGGTGGAGAATGGGATCGCAACTGCATGGAAAGGTTTGATCAAGTGGAGGTGGAGAGAGGGTTGTGACTATGGTAGCTTTCGAAGTCGTCTGTCCTGCGCTCCAGCATTAGCCGTTGGAGCAAAAAGATGTAATAAGCAGCAAACAGAAACGTGTAAGCATTTACTAGAAGTTCTTCAGATTTGTTAGCACTTATGATGCTTTGGTCATTGTCGGCCAAGCTAAATTACATACATCAATGGATGCTTTTGTAGATGTCAGGTATCGTTTTGGATTTTGTTTGGAGGTGTTTTTATGTGTAAGGAAAATTCCTTTTCCTTACTTCGCATCCCTGCTCAACGCGTACATCACTGTAGCACCACAGTCAGCACCGTTACCACTCGCAATCCTCGCATCGACAATCCGCCCGCCACTTTCGCACGTCGCACCCCGACCTCACGGCTCGGCGGGTAACCCGCGCTCCGGGCCTCCGCTTCGACACTTTTCCCAACCTCCGTCCCAGGACCGTCGCGCGACAACCACAGTCCATTACCGTTACCACTGTAGTTTCGCTATATATTCTTCGCTCATGCCTTCGCTCATTGTACTCTTGCTTCGATAGTGCAATTCTCGTTCGTTCACTCAATTGCACTCGTAACACTTGGTATTCAGAGCCTACGATCTCCTCTCGGACCGCACCCACACCTTCGCTTCCCCACTATCTCAATTTTTTGGGGGGGGTGACGAGAAACGAGAATGAATGACTTCACTATAGGTTTGCAAGAACATATAGCAAATGAACAAAGAAGGTGCACCACCTAACAAAGTTTATAATAACTACACTAACTACAGCTAAAGGCAGTTACAGATATATTCTAACACTCCCCCATAACTGCCAGAAGCAGGAGTCTGTGCAGTGACACAACCTGGATGGGTACACCACGAACTGAGAAAACAGCAACAGCAGGCAACAGGCAAGGTTACAAAGCAGGTACAGCAGCAAAGGGGGGGGGGGGCAGGCACTCCTGCCACCCCTTTACTCTCCTCCCCCCCCCGACCACAGGAGGGGCGGCAGGGAGAGAGAGGAGGCGGGCTGGCGCTGGCTGGTCACCCACTCCATCCCCTCACCCTCCCCCTCCCCCTCCCACTGCTGCAGGAGCAGCAGAGGGGGGGCGAAAGGAGGAGGATGGGAAGGGGAGACCACACACCCGCCACCCCAATGCCACTCCCCTGGCTCCCCCACACCCTCACACCCTCCCCCCCTGCGGCAGCTGCAGCAGTGGGAACGAAAGGAGGAGGAGGGGAAGGGGAGACCACACACCCGCCACCCCAATGCCACTCCCCTGGCTCCCCCACACCCTCACACCCTCCCCCCCTGCGGCAGCTGCAGCAGTGGGAACGAAAGGAGGAGGGGAAGGGGAGACCACAAACCCGCCACCCCCACACCCGCCACCCCCTACTCGCCACCCCCAAACCCTAACACAGGGCAGGGCGGGATGGCGGATAGGGAGGTTACAGGGGGGGGGAGGGGGGGGGGGGGCCGACGCGCGGCCTCCCAGGGCGCCAAAGCAGGCGGCAGAAGGGGCGACGCTCGCCCCCCCCCCCCCCCAGGTCGCCCCTCCCGTCGCCTGTCGAGGCGACCTGAGGGGGCTGCGTGCGGCCCCCTAGGGAGCCGCAACGGGCGACGGGAGAAAGAGGGGGGGGCGGTGCACGTGCCCCCGGTGCGCCGCGACAGGCGACGGAGCATGGCCGGGGCGGGGCCGGGGCAGGGTCGAGGCAGGGTCGGGGCATAGCAGGGGGAGGGCCGCGATAGGGCCGCGACAGGGTCAAGGCAGGGCCGGGGTCGGGGCAGGTCCGGGACGGGGCTGCGACAGGGTCGGGGCAGGGCCGCGCCGAGGGGCCGCGACAGGGTCGGGGCAGGGCCGGGGTTGGGGCAGGTCCGGGACGGGGCCGCGACAGGGTCGGGGCAGGGCTGGGGTCGGGGTCGAGGCAGGGCCGAAAGGGGCAGCGTCGGGGCCGCAAGGGGCAGCGACGGGGCCGCTGGAAGCGGCGACGGGGCCGATAGGGGCGGCGATGGGGCCGCTGGAGGCGGCGACGGGGCCGCTTGAGGCGGCGACGGGGCCGATAGGGGCGGCGACGGGGCCGCGAAGGGGCCGCGAGGGGCCTGAAAGGTCGGCGACGGGGCCGGTAGGGGCGGTGACGGGGCCGCTGGAGGCGGCGACGGGGCCGCGAAGGGGCCGCGAGGGGCCTGAAAGGTCGGCGACGGGGCTGGTAGGGGTGGCGACGGGGCCGCAAAAGGCGGCGACGGGGCCGCTGAAGGCGACGACGGGGCCGATAAGGGCGGCGACGGGGCCGCGAAGGGGCCGCGAGGGGCCTGGAAGTGCGGCGACGGGCCGGTAAAGGCGGCGACGGGGCCGCGAAGGGGGCCGCGAGGGGCCTGAAAGGTCGGCGACGGGGCCGATAGGGGCGGCGACGGGGCCGCGAAGGGGCCGCGAAGGGCCTGGAAGGGCGGCGACGGGGCCGCGAAGGGGGCCGCGAGGGGCCACTAAGGGTCTCGCGAGGGGCACGCCACGGGGCATGCAGTACACAGAGTAGCAGCGGAAGCAACAGGCCAGGAACGTAGTTTGCTCTGATAGCATGACGAGAAACGAGAATGAATGACTTCACTATAGGTTTGCAAGAACATATAGCAAATGAACAAAGAAGGTGCACCACCTAACAAAGTTTATAATAACTACACTAACTACAGCTACAGGCAGTTACAGATATATTCTAACAGGGGGTAGACGTCCCTCAGCGACACAGCACCGCCGCTCGTAGTGCTCTCTCGTAAGCACGCACGACCACGACCGAGGCTCTCGCTGAGCTCGCCCGACACCCCCGCCATGGCCGAATTCACGCTCGCCACATTGACGTAGGAGCAGCTTGACCGTCTGGTGCGACAACTTGAAGATTCGGTGCTCGAAATTGGGACGCTCACGGCGGAACGTGACTCCGCCCGTCAACAATCCACGGTGAACATTCCAGCGCCACCACACGCACCGACAGATGCATCTGCACAATCGGACGAGCCGATCGTCATTTCGTCCGGCACACCAACACAACACGACAGCGTGGGACAACGCTCAGGCGCAGCCAGTGACGGCGCCGCCCAGCCGATGCCTGGCATGGGAGGAAACAGGGTCGCACCAAGCCCGCGGGAGCCTCGTGAAGCCCGTCGGCACGTGGAGTTTGCGGCGACAAGTGGCGAACAGGCCATTATGGCACCCATGCCACTCAAGCCGCAACGCCCGCCCTGCTTCGACCCAAGCCAACGTGGAGGTCCGACGATTCAATCGTGGGTTTTCACGATGAACGTCTTCTTCGACGCGAATTACGTCGAGTCGGACGCAGCGAAGATTCGGTATGCCGTTTCGCTGTTAAGGGGCCCCGCCATGGACTGGTAGCGAGTCATCGTGACGTCGCCACGCGCCTACGAGCCACCGTCGCAAGAGGAAGGGCCCACGGGCCCAGCTGTTACCTGGAGTTAATTCTTCTATTTCGGCGCGTCAGAGATTGCGCACTTGGCGGCAGTTTGGGTCGGTTCAAGATTACACGAGCGGTTTTCTCGCACTTGGCGAGCAGGTCGGCTACATGCACGAAGCGGAGCGGGTGGACCGTTACGTCGGAGGGCTGAAGCCGGATATCTCGCACAAAATCATGCTGCGCGGACTCTCAAACTTCAATGAGATTCTCACGCTCGCCGAGAAAATCGACATTCTACGCCGACCGAGACCGGGGTCCTACTACGGACATCGTCCTCGGGGACCGATCGAGCACGCCACTGTAAACCCTGTTGCAACGAATGCAGCTGCCGCACCGTTTAAGGGGCGCTGCTTTGCTTGCAACAGGCCGGGCCATTGCAAGAGCGAATGCCCAGAGGAGCTAAGGCGCCGCGGAGCAGAGCAGGGGGGGAAGTCTCAGAGGCAGGGAAACGCCAGC